GAGGGACCTGACTCTCCCCCATTAAGGGAAGCAGACTCCATGAGGAGAGTGGGAAGCCTGCCCTATCTGTCTGTTTCTGTGTTCTAGGTTTGTATGTTTAAAGTGCTAAGGTTAATTTAAAGGTATAAATTTAACAGTAGATACCAGACTATTGCTGACTCCCTCCAGAGCAGGCAGGAGGTGGGGGAGGGGAGACATGTGGCAATCCAATATGGACGCCACTCCCCAAGAAGGCCACCATAAGAGGCCTCGTATTCGCCATATTTTTTATAGCTAATAACTTAAACAAATTCATGGATGCATCAGGGATTTCTGTACTCATGTAAGGGGAAAAGACCAGTTTAAAAACGAGTGTGCATAGTTTTTGAGCTGGGCTTGACTCTTTTCTGTGTGCAGAGTGAAAACCCTGGGCTGTTTTTTTGGCTTTGGGGATGGCAAACATGATAGGGGAAAGAAATACAAGCTAGTTTCCCAAGGCATTTAAAGCAGCTTTTGAAATTTCCCACCCTGAGGCAAGTAACCAGCAGGGCATAAAGTCTAGAGAATTGATTATTGATTTGGGAAATGCAAGTATTTGATTTGCTACCTGAAAAATTTAAAGTTCTGAACGTTTAAGGTCTCTTGCCATGAAGAAATTTTAAAGCTACACATTTTTTTTTTAATGGAGGAAGGGGTGGACACGCCCCCCCCACCCCCCACCCCCAGAACAGGTAATCCAATTCCAGCCAGCAGCCATCTTTAAAGAATGTGTTAATTTGCATTTAAATGGCTACACCTTTTGCTAGCCAACCTTCCCAGAAAAGGACAAGTGGCCAAAAGGTTTAAAGGTAATTATTAGATTTTAAAATTTAACTTGTTTAAGGTTGAGTGCTCTGACACATAGCAAACCGCCCCAAGTGGCCACTGGGATATCTTTTTCCCAGGGGTGCTTGCTCTCTGTCAGAGGGGAATCAGCCCGCCTAAAAAAATTTCTGTTCATATTTAAGGTATGAAGTTGTAACAATTGGGGTCTAAAAGGTTAAAAGCAGGGACCAAATTCTAAAGTTAACTGCTGTTTGTCTCAATCGGCCATTTAAGTTTGATGTGATTAATGATTACAGTACATTGTAATATCTTTTGAAAAAAAAGAAAATATTTTGTGGGCCACTTGGTCCTTGTGTGTGTGTGTGTGTGTGTGTGTGAGTGTGTCAACTCTTAAGTTATGGTTTTAAAATCAGTAATATTAATGGAAACACCCTCAAGCAGAGGAGTTTTTCAGAAAAGTCAGGGAGTCTGTTTGCAATGTAGTGGTCACTGGTTCCCCTACTAGCAGGAGGCAAGCGCCTTTCCCAGTGGGAACAGAGAGTGGACTGTCAGATGAAAGCGCCTCAGTGGGAGCATCTCCTTTGCCATCTGGGACTCGAGCCGCGCTCCCTGTCTCCACCCACTCAGCATCCATTGCCTCCAGGGGTTGTTTAGAGTAGCTGGGGGCAGCAGTGGGAAGTGGCGTGGAGAGAAATTCCTTTGTGACCCCCTGTACCACAATGAGATCCAAGAATCCCTGGTGACTCCTTGAACACTTTTCAGGCTTATCAGAATCTGAGATCTTTATATGTAGGAAAAATGTGGCATTTTAAATTTCAAGTAGCTGGAGGCCTGGGAACAGGGTACTGGACCTGCTCCCTTCTCCCTCTACCTTTTCTAAATAGTTTAAAGGAAACAGAGAAAGGGTTGAAAGGAAGAAAAAGCCAGCAGCAAATAGGAAGGAATTAGTATGCTTATTGTAGGAAGCAGGGGCACTGAAAAAGAGAATGTCCTGGCAGGTTAGCTAGAGAAGCAAAAAGGGAGACTTAGACTCCAAGGGTCTTTAACTTAGAGGAAGAAGACTGACAGGACCGGGGCTCTTTTCCATTGAGCCCCCAGGGTAATCTTACAAGTGGAGGGCAAATCTGTTAGCTTCCTGGTGGACACTGGGGGAACCTATTCAATCTTGACAGAGCCAATGGGACCCATAACCTCTAAGAAGATATCAGTCCAGGGAGCCACTGGACAAACTGCCTGTTTTCCTTGGACATCAAGAAGGATTGTGGACCTCAAAAGGTATTGGGGAAATGCAGCCGCTGAACTGGACCAAAGTGGAACAGTGGGCCCTTGAGGAGCTAAACAAGGTTCTCATTTCAGCACCTGCCATAGCCTTGCCAGTTGTTGCGAAGCCTTTATGTGAGTGAGGTAAGGGGCATTGCCAAGGGGATTCTCACTCAGACTCTAGGACCCTGGAAGAGACCTGTTGCCTATCTGTCTAAAAGGCTAGACCCTGTGGCAGCAGGGTGGCCAGCGTGCCTCCGGGCAGTGGCCACCACAGCATTGCTGGTGAGCAGACGCTGGGCCAGGAGCTGCCAAGCTCTTCTGACCAGCCCTGCGTTCGGTTTCATAAGACACTGGCCATCAACCCTGCCAGCCTCCTTCCAGATGATGATCCAGAGGAACCCATTCATGACTGCAGAGGTAACAGACGCAGTACCAACAGCTCGCCTAGACTTGATAGAGGTCCAGCTATCATCATCAGATGAGGTACTGTTCACGGATGGGAGCAGTTACGTTCAGGATGGGATCTGATATGCAGGGGCAGCGGTGGTCACTCTGGACCACACCATTTGGGCACAATTCCTGAACTTTTGGCCTTAATCCAGGCCCTTTGATGGGGACACTATGCCATCCACAGTGAAAGAGGGTTATCAACTGTAGTAGGGAAGGATATTATGCCCCAAAACCAGTGGGGCCTTTACAAGTCTTAGTAACTGTACCAGACACCGACCTACGATGGACCCTCTCCTACACAGAACAAGAGGAAGGATTGGCAGAACAGAAGCAAACCATCAAGGGACCAGATGGTTGGTGAACCCTACCAGATGACAGACTGTTGGTCCCAGAGGTTCTAGGTCGGACGTTAGTTGCCCAGTTATACCAGGTTACCCACATAGGTGTCACTAAGACTTCTGAACTTCCATGAGGCAGATACTACCAAGCTTAGATAAAAGCATAGTTACTAGAAGTACTGTCTGTACACAGGTAAATGCTAAATAAGGTAAGAGGGTCCCCCTGGGAATTCGGGCCCCAGGGAAATTCCCCAAGAAAGCATTGGGAAGTGAATTTCACAGAGAGTAAGTCACCAGCATTAAGGAACATGCTAGTTTTTACAGGCCAGGTTGAAGCATACCCCACTAGGACAGAAACTGCCTCAACAGTAGTCAAGAAATTACTCCAGGAGATTATACCTAGATTCAGGCTGCCAGTAGTCATAGGATCAGATAACAGCCCCACCTTTGTAGCAAGGTATCTTAAAGTATAGCTCAAGCCTTAGGACATGCATGATCAGGACTCTGAAAAGGAGTTTTAACTAAATGTGTCCTAAAATCTGGTGAAAACTGGACCAACCTCCTGCCCTTTGACCTCTTATGGGCCAGGTGTACCCTCTATCGGGAGAGGTTCCCCCCTTTTGAGACCATGTATGGTATACCTCCTCTCCATCCTTCCCAGGGTCAGGGAGAAACTGAAAGCTGGAATTCATAACCATTCCCTTGTTCAAGACTTACAGGCTCTGTAGTATACCCAGAGAGCCACCCATAAGCTTGTTCCAGATGCACTGCCAGCGCCCACCATGGACCCTGTACACCCCTTCTAGCCTGGGGTCTTAGTATGGGTAAAGAAGTTCACTGCCCAAGGACTCACTCCAACCTGAAAGGGATGCTGCACTGTTATCCAGAGCACGCCCACGGCTGTTGAAGTACTGTAGATGGCACCCAGACCTGGCTACACTATTCCCAGCTCCTGCACCAGAAAACTTCCTGGATCCTGGCAACCAGCAGCTTTACCCACGAGATCCCTAGCCTGGGCTCCACACAGGCCTGGAGGAGACTTGATGCCTGTAGGAGGGGAACTGGACTTCAGTGGGGACAGTATTGATGGGAACTGTGGTATTAAGGATCTTGGTAACTGTAAGAACGTTTTTACTAGCCAGTGAGAAAGTCCAGGGCTAAGTAAGGCTAGATATGCTAAGGGATTGGAGAGCAAGAACAGAACAGGAAATGCCCTTAAAGGAAGTGGGATGAGTCAATGATTTGACTCATGCACATTAAGACAAGGGGGGAATGAAAGGGCAGGGCGGGGCTAACTCCTGATCCTCCTGACCCTATCCCTCACCCAACCAATCGGAGTCAGCCAAAGCAGTGATATCACCACCCCTATAAAACCCCTTGATCTGTTGAAGCTTGCTCGCTTCCACCATGCCATTGTTAGTATAAGTGGGACAGAGCTCGGACTAGTCCAAATACAGGCTTTCTGCTATTGCATTGGACTCAGCTTCTTGGTGGTCTTTGGGGATCACGAAATCTGGGCATAACACTACCATATAAAGTTTTCATTTCAGACCATTCTTTGTGGTGATTTTAGGTTTCTGAGTTTGTACGGCAGCCAAGCAGGCCTCCTTTAGGCTGTCAGTCTAGTATGTGGCTCCTTTTTGTCCCCAACAACTTAACAAGATCAAACTGAATTTAATTTCAAACTCTAGGAGCCCAAATTAATGAGACTCAAGGACAAGTCAGGATTTCATAGCTTTTGTATAATATTTCCTTCCCCTGGAAGCTAATTCACAGGCCAGAGCAGTGCGGGAGTCCTTGAATGCACCACAGCATTGGTGGGGTTTGCTCCTTTTACACTTGGTCTGCGCTGTCAAAACTGAAGTCTGTGTAGGAGAAGCCAGCACTTTTCTGGTCACCGTGGGCATGATTTTGTTTCTGCAAAGCCACAGCAACATGCTGATGGGTCTTGGAAGGTGGTCTCCGGATTGAAATCCTGGGGAGTTCGGGCCTTGCTTTGATGATTGTCTCGGGTGGCTCAGCGGCGAGGTGACTACAACCTGGGCAGAAGGACACGCGGCTCCGCCCGCAGCGGCCCCTCCCTGGCTGCGGCCGGGCACCTGTGCGCACCTGGTTGCCTCCCCTCCCTCCGGCCCCGACCGGGCTGGGCAGCCGGGCTCCGGCGCGAAGTCCGCCGACTCCCCGCGGCTCCGCCCCCTCCCGCCGCCGCTATTTGAGGCCGCCCGGCTCCGCGCCTCCAGCCGCTGCTCCACTTCGCAGGCGCCCGCACTCCGGAGAGAACCCCCAGGAGGCCGGTGAGCGGCGTCGGGGAGGGCGCCGCGCGGGCGGCCCGGGCTGGAGGGGGGGGGGGGGGTAGGAGGGAGCTGGCGGCTCGGGTTCCCTCCGCGAGCCCGGCTGCGGCTGCGGACGGTGCCTCCGCCGGCGAGTGGTGCGCGGCCGCCGGGCCCTGGATGCGGAGTGTCCTTCCGTGGAGGCGCCCCGCACGCCGCAGAGGGCGGCCGGCGGGCATGGGGACCGCACGGAGCCTCGCCGGCTGCTGCGCGGGGGCCCCGGACCACAGGTGACGCCCGCGCACCCCCCGGGGCCGCAAGTTACCCGCCCGCCCCTGGACCACAGGTGACCCCGCCCGCGCGGAGGACGCTTCCTGCGGGGTGCGGGCCGTTGGGACCCCGGAGGGTGGGGACGGGCGCAGCAGGTTGAAGAGGGCGGCCGTGGGGGTGGGGCGCGCAGAGAAGCCGGGGGGCGGGGGGGGGGCGGAGGTGTGGGGGGGTCGAAGCCCCAGGCGCGGCTCCCACTGGGCGCCCGGCCTGGCCGCGCCCGCCGGGTGTGGCTTGCCCTGTGAGGTCACTCAGGCCTGCGCAGAGAAAAGTGCGGACCGTTCCAGATCTTGTCACTTCTCTGCCTTTTATTAAAATTACTGCGGGCAAATATTACTAGATTTGGTGTCTTCTGGTCTTGGGGAAACTTTTAATCATACTTGGGGTTGTGGTGTGAGAAGTAATTAACACTTAAGCCGCTTTCTTCCTCCTCCTGCCCCTCTGCACAAGCTCAGCTTTGGAAAGGAGAAGTCTAGCAAATTAATTCAGATGCGCCAGGAATACTCGCTTCCTGCGGGAGAAGCTGGGTCAGCGCTGGGACTGTGCCTCCCGGGCCCCATTGTACTTGATGACTGGGATGTGAGTCAGGGCTGCCTGCTCCTCCCCCGTGTGGTTTAGGATTTATGTGATGAGATGAGGTCTGAAAAGTACCCTTTGGATTGACATCCTGTAGTGTTGTCTTGCTGGGCTAGGTAATGTGTACTGCGATAACATGAGTTACCACTCTTATCAGTTTTATGGGGTGTGTCCCAGTATTTTGTGACTAAGTGAGTAATTATGTCCTTCACTTTATGCCAGCCCAGAGAGAAAAGGATGCAATATTAGTCATACTGGGGCCAATAGACCAAGTATTTACAATTATATGAGGCCAATCCCAATCTAAGGAATTTATTACAATTCAGTTTATTAGAGTTAACTCTAGTTAATAACAGTAGAGTGCCATAAGAATGAATGAAATAAACATTACTGCCTGTTCATACCAGCAATTTTCAATCAGTGTGCCCCAAGAATTTTTCAAAAATATTAGCCTTTTCCCTAGAGTGTCAATAGCCTTGTGGAGTGAATACCCTGTCTTGAACCATAAATATATATAGGTCATATAATAGAGTTGCATCTTTTTGGTCATGTCGAATAATAGGGTTGCATCTGATTGGTGAATTATTGGTACTAGAAATCTCTATATACAAATATAGGTACCTGATTTTTTAAAAAGTGACTTTGGAGGTAATTGCTGTTAGAGTCACTGAAAGAGGAATGCACGAGGCCAAAGGGGATGAAGAATTATGAATTTATTGGGTCATTTGGAAAACCAGATGGGCTGAGCCCCAAAATGGCACCAGCCCCCAGGGCCTGGGAGTCAGGTTTTTAAAGGCCTCTAGGCGGGCTTTTTCTGGGTGGAGAATTCTCTGTGCAGGTGCGGATTCTGGGAAACTCTGGAGGGCAGAGATAATAGTCTTAGCAAGTGGAATGTGGTCTAAGCAAGTGGAATGTCCATTGTGAAGTGGCCTAAAGGTCAGCTCCCAGGAAAGAGTATTGAGTAAATTATTTGATCAGAGCTAACAATTCCTATTATTGTAATTTTTAAAAAATCAAAATCATACCCATATTTTTTGTAACATTTTTTGATGTTGTTGCAGAATTTTAGTAATTAATTTATGTGTGCCATGAGATGATAAAGGTTGAAAATTACTGGTTTATACTCAGAAAATCCTATATCACATCAAACATATTCTGTGACCTCCAGTTGATCACACACTTTACATTCCCATGTTTGCTGGACCTGATTAAACCTAGACATCAGAAGAAAGAAAATAATGTGTAATTTACCCACCATTTATTTACTACCCACTGTGTTAGGAATTAGTTTATTTAATGTTTATAGTAAACAGACATATAAGGAATCATCCTCTGTTAACAGATTACTGCTGCTCAGAAAAGTTTTACACACACACACACACACACACACACACACACAAATATATGTATACACACAGAAAACAAAGGGACAAAGCAGGAAGCCAGGTCTCCATTTGAATGGTTCAATTTTGTGGGACACTAAGGCATGCTTAATCCAAGAAGGCAAGAAGCACAATTAGTAACACCTTTAAAAAATTATTAAAACTGATCAGTTGAATAAAATCAATTATGAACATAAACTGCTCAAAGTCACGAGTGGTGCTATAGGGGAAAATGGTGCTAGGGTAGATTTGTTAAACTTGTTTATATATAATTGAAGTACTGAGGACATGCACATACATACATAAAATTGCTCATTAATGAAACCTTAATACCCAGTTTTTATGCTTGTGAATAAATGTTTTTAAGGTACTTTATGTAAGACTTCAGGATGTATTAGGCAGTTGAGGTTTATATGCCATCTGGATAAAGGCCAGGGTCTGTGATTTCCAAGGGAAAGCAGACAATGTAAAGATAGATGAGAGCTCTAGCCAGTTTGGCTCAGTGATTAGAGCTTTGGCCTATGGACCGAATGGTCTAGGGCAGTGGTTCCCAACCTTTTTTGGCCATGCCTCACCCTTTGACATATAATTCTTATTCAAAAAGTGAACTCCTGTTCACATGGAGGAAGCCTAAAAAGCCATTGACTTGGTCTGAACAAGCTTCCAAAGAACACGGCATCCATGAAAGAGAAAAAAAAAAGAACGAAAGGACAGTTGAAGTACTGAGGAAGAAATCACTAAGAAATCATTAAAAAAAATAATAATATGAAGTGATATGAAAAGATAAGCAAAGTTTCAAAACATAAGATAACTGAAATGCATAAATATGTCACAATATATATTTATATACTGTATATGAGGCACCTAGAACCATAAGAAACACAAAATATTCACTGTTAATAACTCACTCTCAAATTGCCCCCCTTAAAAATCAAATTGCCCCCTGTGGTGAGTGTGCCCCTGGTCTAGGGTTTGATTCCCGGTACCTCGGTTGCAGACTCTATCCCAGTTGGGTGCATTGGGAGGCAACCCATCAATGTGTCTCTCTCACATCGATGTTTTTCTCTCCCTCCTCTCTCCTCTCCCCTCTCTCTAAAAAAGATCAATGGAAAAAATATCCTTGGGTGAGGATTTAGAAATAAATGAATGAATGAATAAATAAATATAGACGAGAAAAAGCCAATGCGTGGTAAGCAAATTCTTTCTGGGCCACCCAGAACAATGGAGCACAGGGGGAGTCCCAACAAACAGGCTTTCCTGGATTTCCTCCTTTGGTTCATATGGTGGTGCTAAGGTGATGTTCCTTTTCTTTAAGCAGGTTTTTATATTTGAATTCCTACATATAGGTGGAAGGGGGAAGTTCAGAAGTTCTTTCTGAGTAATTTCTTTCTTTTTTTTTAATTCTCAACCCAAATAGTTTTACTAATTTTAGAGAGAGAAGGAGAAGAGAGAAAAAAACATTGATGTCTGAGAGAAACATCCATTGGTTGCCTCCTGTACTTGCGCCCCCTATCCAGGTATGTGCCTTAACCAGATTTTGGTGCAAGGGCCAACACTAACCAACTGAGCTGGCCAGGGTGAATCATTTATTTATCAATAAGCAGCTTAAAAATCAATATCTCAAAAGGCATATTTTGGAGTGGTAAAACTTTGGTCCCTCTCGACAGCATGATATATTGCGTAGTTGAAAAGGAAACTCTTTGTCACTGATGTGGCCCAATGACAGCACCAAAATACATAGGTTCCTTGAGGATTCAGATCTTAAACTTTTCAACCCCACTATTAAAAAAAAAACCAAGAGTTTCTTGATACCTTGTGTCTTTGGATTGGAAAAAAATCCAAAATGGATGTGTAAGACTTACTGTTGCTGTAATGCAAGGATGTTTGAGATCGCTACATCTCAAGATAAAGTAAGAAATTAAAGAGAACCCCACCAGCCCAGTTATGACCATTTTAGAATCAAGGTGGAAAAAAAATCAGCTAATTGAATTATTTATAAAAACCCATGGGTTTGTTAATAAGTTCAGGTGAGGAGAATAAGATATGCTTTAAAAAAGCACCAAAGAATTTCACTAATGTTTCAGGAAATGCTGTGTGGTGATCCATCCATGTTTGCTATGTAAAAAGTTTGGTTATTCCAGTTTCCTAGGCTAATAAGCACAGTAGTTATACAAAATATCCTAAAGTCTGAAAAATTAAACTGAGGTTTGGTGAAATTTGTAAGTTTGCTTTAAAGGTGTTTAGTTTAAAGCACTAAAAAGTTTTATCTATTAATATATAGTACTTAAATTTTTAAGAAAAAAATATTTTTTTTATTTTTATTTTTTGTATATCCTCACCTGAGGATATTTTTTCATTGATTTTTGGGGAGAATAGAAGAAGGAAAGACAGAGAGAAACATCCATGTGAGAGAAACATTTAACTTGGCAGAGACAAATTTAAAATAAGGAAAATCAGTGTTAAGTGAAAGAAAGGAAATTCATTCTGAGTTATAAAGAGAATCTCAAATGGGAGAAGGGTAGGGGCAATTGGTAAGACAAACTGCTCTTACCTGTAGTATTGATATAGGCACTGTGTTTTGTTTTTGAAAATACATTTTCAAATACATTTTTAAAATACATTTTCATTGATTTCAGAGAGGAAGGAAGAGGGAGAGAGGGATAGAAACATCAATGATGAGAGAGAATCATCTGTGAGCTGCACGCTCCCTACTGCGGATCGAGCCCACAACTCTGGCAT